TAAAAGAATGAACTATGGTTGTTAATGTTTTGGCTTATAAGCACAATTAATAATCCAAAAGGAAGGAAATAAGTGCTGAAAATATGATTTCCCTTTGCAACTATAAGCCAAAATGCACAGCCTCACTGTTCTCTCCTCACAGCTCTTATTCCTCCGGGTTCAGAGGCAACCACCCTGCACTGTTCCACTGCAGGGGATGGAACATGGCACCCACAGCATCCAGGGTTGCAGCTCCTTCCCCTGCTTATTGAAACCCACTTCAAACACATCCCAGGAGCAGCCTGTCATTGGGCCTTAGGTCATAGGAATCCTGGAAAACAGAGCAGGAGACAAGTAAGGATGGGGATGGCTCTGCCTGACCTGATGCTCTAGTGAGGTGCGTGCCTCTGGGCTGTCAGTGACCAAACAGTTCCTGGAAAGGAGCAAGGGCTGAATGGCACCAAAAAGCTGCTCTGAGGAGTAGGACAGGCCATGAAGACACACTTGGCATTTCTGTCCCCAGGTACTCATTGTGTAGGCGAAGCAGTCCCACGCTATAAGCCCCTGTGAGGTGAGGTATTCCCAGGGGAAGGTGCTCAAGTGTGAAATCATTACAGCTTTGAGACACAGACATGCATCAAAGACCACTCAAGTGGGTGTGCACAACACACTGCTTGGTTTCAATGGCATTTACCATCAAATTGCTGAGATGGGCTTTAAAACCAGTGGGCGGGGACTCCTTCTCACTCTGGAGAAGTTCATTAGATTATAAGTAATTCAGTTACACAGACAGCAAGTAGGGCCTGAGGCTGTTTTGAGGGGCTGCTTGAAGAAGGTCAGAACAATATATCAGACGGCTAATGGGACTGAAGGCTGTTGGGGAGCAGATAGTAGGTATTTAAAGATAAGCATTGTGTGCTGGTGTATTTTTTTCTCCTGACTGAATATTCTCATCCTTCTTATAAATCACATAAAATCATTTTGCCAAAAAATGGCCCAGCCTATCAACTGAGGTTGCTGGTGAAGTGAGACATGTCTGTTTTGGAGGACATGCAGGGATGGAAGCTCCGGCATCTTGTGAAAGGAAGCCAGAAAAACCTCTCTGCTCCCAGCTAAGGAGGGGACAGAAGCTGCTGCTTCTGCAGGGGCAAAATCCCAAACCAAACCTCAAACCCTAAGATTTTTCCTGTGGGCAGCTGAAGGCATGTTTACCCCTGAGTACCACCACCATCACCCCTTGCTTGGGAAGGTAAAGTACTGCCCCAACTCACCATCCAGAACTGCTGACGCTGAGTAGGTCGCAGGACCTTGTTTTTGAAGCCATGCCAGTTAATTCATCCTGCGTTGGCCTGATTAAATGCTGAATTCCCTAGAAGCTTCATACTGATGGCAGTGGGTGGTGTCTGAGGAGTCCATCCCTGCTCACCACTGGACCACTGTGCATATTTAAATATTCTGCTGAGCCGTAATGGATGGAAATATGCTTGGGCCATTTCATGAACAACACATTCCTAGAATTTAAGCCCCCACAAAAACATCCTAGAAAAACAGCAGTCTTGATTCCATGCTACAAGCCAGGTATTCCAGAAAAGACAGTCACATACTGCAAATTCTGCATGTCCTCAACATTTACTTACAGGTAAAAGATCTAAAAAATGTTGACATCTGTTGCGGTCCTACATCAAAGTTAATTTGCTGAGATGGGGTGTTGGGAATCTAAGACTGTAACTTCTCTCACCTGGTATCTCTCACACTCTGGCTTGGTTCTTCAAAGGAAGCCCCACATTTCCATCATTAAAGCTGTTTTTTTTGTTTAAGCTCAGTGAAAACAGAATGTGGTCACAGCCTGTGAACACTGTGGCACACCCTGAAGTTTCATTGGCTTGCGTGGCACAACTGCACCATTTGGGACAGTTCCCTTCACTAGCTTGGCCCCAACACTGAATTTTGAGGCATGGGTGAAAGTATCTGGGCTGAAGGACTGGTTGTGAAAAAACAAGGAGCAACCCTAATCAGGCAAGGTGGGTGTAGTCAAGGGCTAAGGATGGCATTTTGGCTAGCACCAAGGTTGTTTTGATATCCTTAGCCCTTGAATACACCCACCTTGGCTGATTAGGTTTGCTTGTTTTTTCATAACCAGTCCTGCAGCCCAGATAGTGTGTGGCCACTGTCTGGGATGTAGAGGTTAACCTCCAGTTCCACCTCTCTCCTATTCGCCAGTACCTCCTTCTTTGATGGTAACGCCCCACTCACCAGCTGAAAGCTACCCAAATATTTCACTAAAACATCCTGAATTAATTTTACAAATCCTAATCCCCATCCTGGCTCAAATACACTCTCAAGTTATTGTAATTTTTACCTGTCACTTCTCCCACTACCTAATATTTCAAGGATTAACTGACAGTGCATGACCTTTTTGTAGTCCTCTCTAAAAATGTCTGCTCTCTGTTTCTCTTAGAATTTTCTCATCTGTCTACAGATTACAGTGCTTCTTTTCAAGGCAATAACCAAGTGTGAAGCTGCTTTAGCCATTCATGAGGATGAGATTTAGTATGTAAGCTCACCAGTAACACAGTATTAAAAAAATAAAATAGCAGTCTCTTTCATCAAAATCTAATGAACACGTGATTTAATTTTTATTAAGAATTCATTAGGTTCTCCGCAAGCCTGTCTAATGGAGCCTGACCAGGTGAAATGCTAATGCCTACATTACATTTAAACTAATCTTCAGAAATGTTAATTTCCCTGAGTTGTTCCCTGCACATCCCTTTTTTTGGCGCCCGCGGCTGCGCAGCTCTCTCCAGATGCCTGCTGCTGTGCTCATAGCAACACCGCTGTCCCCACCCCAGCCTTCGCACACTTCACTGGAGTTTCCACATTGACAGATGCCTCTCAGTTGCCAACACTACACCCCTTCACCACAGCAGCCTCCTTGGCATTTTCAAGTCAGGTACAAAGCTGCAAGCCTAGCACGCGTTACCTTAAGACTGTCTCATGGAAAAAATGTTTATATATATATATATATATATATAAAAATATAAAAATAATACTTATATAAATATTTTTTATATATATATATCAGGGCATAGTTCAGTCTTCAACATACTAATCTAGTCCAGCAAACAGGTTATTATCTTGATGCAATTTGTATCAAGATAAAAAACAAGAGCTCTGCTCTTTGGAAGACAAGACTGACTGCACACTAATTGTGTAAGCCGGTGTGCTCACCACCTGCCCTCCCACCTATGGGCTCCATGTATCTGCACAGCTATTGTGGTACCTACAGCCTTTTTCTTCCACCAAAATGCATCGCCCACCATTCCAACATGCTTCTGCAGAAGCAGTTCATAGAGATTAAATAATTTATTGGCGTTCATCTGCAGTAACAGCTCCTCTGATCCACCTTTCCTCCACAAACAAGACCAAACCAAACCCACCCTGCCCCAGCACCAAATCAAACTGTCAGGGTGGACAGCCCCCTTTCAAATTGTGAAAGGGAAAGCTCAGAGCCTTTACACAGGTACAGTACACAGATGCGAGTGGGAAAAGCTGCACTGGAGGTCTCCCAGGCCCGCAGTGCCTTCAAAAAAGCACTGCCTCAGGCAGGGATGATGGTTAGCTCTCAGTCCACTCCAGAGGGCTGGGCACAGCAGCCGCAGAGTTGATACAGAAATACCGGAGTCACCTGCTGTGAGCCACTCTGGCTAGAGACGAGCAGGGATGAAGGCCCAGATCCGGCGCGCGCACACACACACACTCGTACTCTCACATACACACACACATCCAGCGTGGCTACGGGTGTGCAAGGCAACGTATTGCCGAGCGGCGACGACGCCCTTCGGCTACGTCCGAGCCACTCCGGCTTCTCCCAGACAGGTTCCGAGTGCTCTCCGAAGGCAGCCGAGCTCGGCGCTCGGCCGTCTCCGGGAAGAGCCGAAGAGTACCGAAGCGGCCGCATAGCCGGCGGCTCGAGCCCTCGCTGGGCGCTGTCCACCACGCGAACCGCCTGAAAGCCACAGCCGCGCCGGGACTGGCTCGGTCCCCTGCATAGGCTCCGGCTGCCGGAACTGCGGAGGGAAGCCTGCATCCAGCTCCCTGCACCCCATCCACACCCAGCTCTGCTGCCAACCCCCGCCTCGCTCAGCAACCCCGTGGGGGCCCCTCCCAGCCTCCGGTCCCTCTGCAACCACCGGCATAGCAAAGCATCAGCCACTCCGCGCCTCTCTCGGCTGAAACCCAGACGCTGAACCAGCACCGGGGCTTGTCCCGAGATGGCGCCCACCTCCGACCAGCCCGTCATGTCTGTGTCGGTGCGAGACCGTGGTGTTTCGCTGTATTTTAATTAAAAAGAAGGGGGGGGGGGGGATAACGGTACCACGGCAGCACCTCCACCCCCTTCATCGTCAGCCTTCCCCTGCGCTTGCCTTCCTAAGGGATGCAGTGTTGAAAGAGATGGTGCGGGCGGGGGGGGGGGGGTGGGGGGTGTCACTGCTGTTTATTGCACTAATTAAACACAGGCAGAGCATGTGCAGGGGAGCTCTGGGAGCCACCTCGGGCACCAGGGCAGGGGTTGAGTGTGACGGGCGGCCACGCTCTAATTCAAAGGAGAGGCTGAAATCTCGGGAAAAGTGATGGGGATGCCTTGCTTTGAATCCGCAGACAGGGCAGATAACACATCGACATTAAGCTGAACTGACAGCGCTCGGCTTCGCGGGGGCATCTACAGGGCCTCGCCTCACGGCTCGGGGAGGGGAAGGTAGGCTCCAACAGCTTCAGCGGTTGAGGCGAGGCCGCCGAGGGGATACTTCAGCACCACATCGCCCAGAACAGCAGCGTGAGCTGCGGTGGCGGAGCCTTCCCCCAGCCTTATGCCTTCCCGCCCTCGCGGCCCCTCAGGTAAATATGGCGCCCGCGGCCCTCACTCAGCTCAGCGAGCCCCCTCTCCCTTCTATTACGGCCCTCTAACTTCCCCCCCTTCATGGCCCCTCTCCCCAACCCCCCCCGGCTACGGCCAGACTTACTTCATTTGCTTCACGATGGTGCTTTTTCCAGACTCTCCGGCCCCTGTTGAAAGAGAGATGAAGGGCGGAATAAGCGCCGGGGAGGAGGCGGGTGAGGGGACGCGGGTTAGGGGAAGGGGCGACCGGCCTCTCACCTAACAGGAGGAGTTTCACATCTTTGGCGGCGCTGATCCCGTCCTCCTTCAGGTTCTTCTCGATGGCCTTGCTCCGCTCCAGGGCGGCTCTCTCCTCGGCGCTCAAGGTACATCCCATGGCGGCGGCAAAAATAATTAAAAAATTAAATTAAAAATAGAAAAAAAAAAAAAGGCGGAAAAAGGGGGAGAGAGTGCAGCCCCCGCCGCCGCCTCGGCTGGCTCCCGCGGGCGGAGAGGAGGAGGAGGCAGGGGCGAAGCCAGATACCGGCGGGCGGGGGGCGAAGAATTCAAGCGGATGGCCGTGAGCCTCCGGCAGCACAGCGCCTAAGCGGCGGGGCTCCCGGCTCCCTCTTCTGCCCCTCTCCCCGCGCCCGAGCGCTCAGTGCATCCACCGGGGCTGCTGCGGGCACGGCTAGTTGTTCCCGGCCGGGAGGCAGAGGCGGAGGAAGAGAAGGAGGAGGAGGAGAAGAAGAAGGAAGAGAGTTCGCGGCGAGGGGAGGGTCCTTCCCTCTGCTGTGCTCTCCCCTCCTTGGCGAGTGGCGGGGCTCTAACGGGCGGTGACGGCTGGGAGCGGGCAGCGCTCGGCAGGGCCGAATGGAGGCGCGGGCTCGGCGGCAGCAGGGAAGCAGAGAGGGAGGGGGCGCGCCGGGGCTCCGCGCTCCCGCCGGCCTCGCCCGCTCCCGTGACGCGCGCGACTCGCGCATGCTCCCGGCAGCGGTTCAGGGCGCTGCCCCAGCGTTGCTCGCCGGAGCCTGGTGTGGGAGGAGGACCTGTGGCGGGGTCCGGCCCGGGCTGCACAGCCGGCATGGAGAGGGGTCGCGGCTTCGGTTCCAGTCTCCTCGCCCTGGGTGGGACGGAGGCCATGACCCCAGCTCCTTGAGGTCCCCGGGCCTCTGTCGTCACCTGCACGGGAAAGGCCGTGACTCGGGCCGCTGCCTCCCGCTTCCCGGTCACTCGGGGCCGAGCCCCTCAGCGCCTGGGGATGGGGAGTCGGGAGAGTGGCGGGCTCCAGCGGCTGCTGTGTATGCGGCCTTGGGCTCCCGAGAGGCCCGGGGCTGCCGCCCCATGCCGCTGAAGTCAGTTCCATCAACACTTGTACAGATCAAGCAGGAGTGATGCGCTTGATGCTGGGCATTGAGCTTCAGTAGCATCTTCGATTATATTTTTCATTAGTCTAATTAACATGAGGCTGATGCTTTCTTGCAGTGCAATCACAGATCTTACCAGATGACCTCTCCTCTTTTCATAACCATTCCATGACATCCAGCAATTATTTAGGGATTCTAGCAAGTTAAAATCCTACAATTTCCCTGACAGGTTTTGCCATTCCACAAGGTTGGAAACAGAAAACAAATATCAACAGGGAAAATGAAACAAATAAGACTTCATTTAAAATGCTTTTCTACTGGCCCAGACAGTCAAAATATATTCAACCTTAATCCATAACATTGATATATAAAAAGATCTAGAGAGGAAAGAATGAAGCGTTGAGTGCAGCAAGGTAAGATGCATCAACATGAAATGGTCAAAATCAAGGAGTGCTGTCTGGTGTACAGAAGGGACACCCGCCACTTCAACAAACAAGAAGTCTGGAAAGGGAGGTTTCATTATTATGAAGTAGCTGTGAGAGGTGAGGCAGCTGATTTTGCCTCTAAAGCCCACTCCACCTCCCTGCCAGAAAGCAAATGTCTACAGGAGCCTTTACAGAGCCATCCCTGTGTTGTGGAAAAGAAATGATGGATTTAGGCTGCTCCGGGGTTGCATCACAGTTGTTCAAGGAAGGCAGTGAGCTGCTTTTTGTGGTGTTGGGTGTGGGTGACTGTGTGTTCACACTGTGTTTTTCACTTAGGACCTCTGTTCATTGCCTCCTCTGGGATCTTCTGACATGCTGTCCTGAGTCCTGCAGTTCTCACATCCAGGACTCTTCCTTTAGAGGTAGATACAGAGTTTCTAATAGCACTTCATAAGTATTTTAAGCATGACTTCCCTGGCATTTTTCTTACAGGGAAACATCATCTCCTCCCAGCACTGTTTCCCATCTTGCCTTCCTCCTGGAATGTGTTTTTCCCATTTTCCCACCTTCGGAAATGAAGGGGAAAAACAAAGCGTGCAGTTAATGAGGTAAAGAGGGTAAGCAGACAAAAGAAAGCGAATAGGAACTCATAAATAATGTTACTGTATTCAGGGACCAGTAATATTTACCACACATTTGTGAGCTAATAGGTACCGTATATTTGAATTTTGGGTAATTTATTTCTGAAAGCTCAGGGGACTGAGATGGACATGCAAGCCTACTACGTGTGTTCAGCAGAGAATAAATGGGGATGGGAGCAGTCAGAGAGCAGTTCCTGCTCTTTCCTATTCACACAAATCTCGTGTAAAATCCATCGGATCAGAATTTCAATCAATAAGTTTCATTTCAATGGTTCTAGCCAGAGGGCATTATGAAAAGTGCCGTATAGGAAAAGCACAGTCAAGAAATCCAGAGGCAGTGTCCTTGTGAGATGGCTGCATTTATTTCTCATCTTCCCCAGCAGTTTGCTGGCCTCAGTGTCCTACTGGGATACTCTCTGGAGGTTTTACTAAGAGAATTAGCCTTTTGTATCAGCCTCTGGCTACTCTTTATCAATCAAATTTGTAGCCTTCACCTCCTGCCATGGAGAAAATTATTTTTTCTTGAACAGTGTGAAGTTCATACTTGGCCCTTTATCCTGTGTACATCCCTGTCACTACACGAATATCTGCTAATTTCTTTCTTAATGGAAAATCAGAAATGGAGAGGTCTTCTCCTTTCTTGCTCAGCTCTCAGAAAGGTTCAGGGGAGCAGCTGTGAAGTTGAGCCATTTTTGAGCCATTTTTGTGCTGCTGCTAATTCAGTGGACCTGATGGAAATGTTTCCTTTGAAATTTTCTTAGAGGGAAATTTCAGGTTTTGAAAAATCTGCTTATTCATGGCAGACGAATTTCAAGGACCTGAAAAGGAAAAAGCCTGCCTCCCGCCCCAAACAATCAATATAAGTACCAGCCTACTTGGCTTTTGAGATAAATATGTAGGGTTTTGTTGCTGAAAATGATGTTTCCATTTCCCAGGAGCTGACAGAAGTCCTTATTTAATAAAAAGTGGTTGCTGGCAGTACCAACTTCAGATGAAAATAGGCTTCTTCCTTCCCCTGTTCCCTAGATATGATAGAACCTCTCCATAAAAAGTAAGGAGGAGAACCTTTTTTCTGGCCATTCTTGCAGTTAAACCATTTCACTCAAGGTGCATAAAGAACATGCTTGTTTCTGCTTGGACTGTTACCTTTACAGTCCTAAGAGCCAGCAGTGTATTTTAAATGAAAGTCCTGTTCTTTTTCTGATGTGTGCCTTGACACAAACAGGCTTCTTTCTGCAATCAGTTTTTAACTGTTCTGCTAGAATGTGATTTCTGTAAGAAGTGAAGGATGATGACAGAACTGACCAATGCCACTGAAACAAACTGTCCCAGAGTAATGTTGTGGGGTAGGTGATGGCTTTGTGATCTTAGATGTGTTGTCTTTCTGCAGGTGATGGGTATCTCTGGGGACTGGGAAGAGATGTGTGCTCCAGCATCTACTCACTGTCCCAGGCTCTGACTACCTATGTCAGGGATTTGTAGAGTGCTCTGGCTTTCTTTGTATAATCATAGAATGGCTTGGGTTTTGGAAGGGACCTTTAAAACCCCTCTAGTTCCAGCCCCCCTGCCATGAGCTGAGACACCTTCAACTAGTCCAGGATGCTCAGAACCCTCTCCCACCTGACCTAGAATTTTTCCAGGGGTGGGGCATTTACCACCTCTCTGGGCAGCCTGGTCCAGTGTTTCACTACACTCATTGTAAAGCATTTCTTCCTTACATCTAGTCTAAATCTACCTTCCTTTAGTTTAAAGCCATTCCCCCCTGTTTTGTCCCTACAGTCCCTGTTAAAAGGCCTTCACCAGATTTCTTTTTTTCTCTTTAGGTACTGGAAATCTGCTATAACGTCTCCATGGGGCCTGCTCTTATTCAGGCTGAGATGACCGTAGGAGGCAAGCTGCAATGCTGTGCAGCTTGTCTTTTTCCTCCTACTTCAGGATTGTTCTGTCCGATCTATAATCTTATACTCCTCTAGTGTAGTTTTAATGCACATGGTAATGCAAGAGCCACCAATCCCACATAGAGACAGCAGTGCATTCTACCAGATCTCACCATTAGGAAGTTTTCCCTGGATATTTAGCCTAATTTTTCATTCTTTAAATTGGTGTCAATTACCCCCCAGCTACACATAGTTATACAGTGGAAGACAGGTTTAAAATACTGCATGATCTCACTAAAGTGAAAAAATGGACAGAAATCAATACAACGAGAGGCAGTAATAACACCCATAAAGGTTAAGTGGGTGATGGAAGAGGGATTAATGAAATGCACACATACTAGTTCAAATTGCAAATATCCTTAGTTCATTCTTACTACAAACCCCATAAATATGTTCTACTCCAACAGATCAAGAAAGGAAGCATTTTAGAATTTGGCTATTCACTTGGAGAAGTAAAGGGCAGTATTAAAGGAGGAGAAGGTGTGGTGTGGGTTTATTGTATGGAAATCTGCATTAAAATAAGAATGAGCAATTAATATTTAAAAAAACAAAAACAACAAACAAAAACCCACCAAAACAAAACAAAACAAAAAACAAACAAACCCACAAAAACTGTGGATAAGAGTATGACCTGCAATATACTTGGTGTCAAGAAGTTGGATAGCCTGACCAAGTTTAGGGAAATGCTGAAAATCCTACTTTTGCTGTTAGTTTTTCATGCCTGTCTGGGTGGACAATAATAACTGCAGGACCTAGGAGTCACTGAGGGCTGCTGTTTTGGAACTGAGTGAAGACTTCGGGCTAGGGCATATGGGGCTAGAAATGTTGGCCATCTGGAGTGGCAGTGCATGACAGAGATAAAACAGCTTGTCTTCAGAGTGCTTAGAACTAACCTTAGGAAGTTTTCTGCTCAAGTCTCTCCTGCCACAGAGAGGGGGACAGAGTGCAACTGCAATGTTTTCAAGGGAATGTAACAAATGCCAGGTAGAAAATCTCCTGGGGAAGCTGATCTGTCTACCAGTCCCAGAAGACAGCCGCTGAGAGCATTGCTCACTACTGTGGCTGACACCAATGGTTTTACAAGGGTTCACATCAGTTTCTCCACGATAAAGTTTTTTTATCTATAAAATTCAAGATTTCTACTAGTTATTGTGAAAAGAAATTTATTGTGTGGCCTGAAATAGGACATTACCTAAGTCTGCAGGGGCACAAGTTATGTTTTTTCAAAGTGAGAAAGAACTTGTCAATAACTCTTAATGAGGTGTGAACTTCTCTCCCATTTCTGCACAGACTTGCAACCCTTAGCTCTTAAGGAGGCTTTTCAGTATGAATGTTTTCCATTTTCTAGTGGTTCAGGGGCACATGGCATGTAAAGAGAAAGGCTTGAAGGACTACAAAGAAATCAGAAGCTAAATGATTGACTATTTTGCTGATGATCTTAGAAAGGAAACCACTACAGATTCCCTTTTATTTTCATTGTTGGGGACAGGTTTGTGTAAAGATGCACTACTTTTGTCCCTTACCCAATCCAATTTCTGCCTATAT